TAATTTAATCTGTTTTATGAGCCGTGGTTGGACGCTGGGATCTGGGGCACACCCATCCTCTATAATATGGTATTGGAACAGGAGGAACTAGTACGGCAAGTGGGCCCTGAGGGTCCTTTATGCCAAACCCTGACGGCTACCTTGGTGTCGACGCCCCGTGCGTACCAGAGTGGAAATGTCAAGATTCATTACCTGCAGATGTTGAGAAATGAAAATTAACTGATTCAGGTGGGAATTGAACCCACAACATCCAGAAACAGGCGCACAGTAACTCAGCTCCAATATGCTCGGCTACCATACTTTTACTTAAATAATTAATTAAGTCAAAAAAACCTGATGGTTGAGCATGATCCCCAGCTGGCCACCTCCCTGCAGAATCGTTGGCCGTGAATTTGTAAATTAGTTTTCTATTGGCCTCTCTTAATTGTACTGAACGATCAAAATCTTCAACAAATTTCTAATTTCATTAGTGATATTAGTGTCCGCACAACCTGATTTGAGGATATCAACTATTGTATCATCTAATTTTTTAAAATCTATTCAGGATGATTTTCTTTCTTTCTTCCGTTTTGAATTTTCTTTTTTTGTCGTATTTGCCATTTATAAATAGTAATTTTTTATGGACTTTAATAGAAATCTTCTATAGAATAATTTCTACTTGCAATATTTTTTTCTTCATAAATTCAAGCTTATGTACACGACACTGTGGCTGGAAATAGATCAACCTTGTTAGGAATTTGTTGCATTGAAATAATTTTGATGTCTGAAAGGCTTGAAAGAAATAACTGAAATAAGTAAAACATTTCCAACGGTTGTAATAACATCGAATTAGGATAAAATCCTGGAAAATTGTGAATTTAGTAAATGGCAGGAAAAACATTTTTCAAGATAACAAGTATAAAAAATTATCTATTGTTATATAAAATCGTATTAAGGAATTTTAAAGGACGCTAGAAACTAATCTATCTTGCTTTTTCAAAACGACAATTAACTTGGCATACTTTACTCCAATCTTAACTTACTCTTTCGGATTTTATAATTCCTGATACTTCTGAACTTATTCAATGATATCAATAATATTTTTACGTTGGGTTAAACCAACAAGATCCTTCTATCCGTACTCGAAAGACTTTTAGTGTGGGCAGTTCTCCTTCATCATTGGTTGAGATCGCTTTCCGTCATAACATAAAGCAGCCTCTCTTAGCAACTTTGCTATCATTGCCTCAAGGTCGGTACAAAAAAGGACCATATATCTCCGATACCTCGGAACTTTGCCGTAGGTGTCCCAGCGACCGAGAAATGTACGGGAATTTTCCAAAAAATCAGGACTTTTTTTGGCATTTTCACGATTTGCGTCATTTCGCGGTATTTCTCATTTTCTAGATTTTCGCCTTTTTCACGATTTACGATATTATCGCGGTTTAGGCATTTCCGCGGTGTTTGCTATTTTCGCAGTTTTTGCCATTATAAAAAAATTGGCAATTTTCTCCATTATTGCAGTTTTGTAATTTTCGCTGTTTTGCTATTTTCATCGTTTTCGCGGTTTTCGATATTATAAAAAAATAGGAATAAATTAATTAATTTAAAAAACTTTAAAATTTTATCATAATTTTCTCCTTTTGAGCAGTATTTTTTCAATTACAGTGATTTTCGCCATTTTATCGATTTCCCCATTTTCTCCATTATAAAAAATAGGAACAAGTTTAGTAGTTTAAAAGATTTTTAAATTTTTCATAATTTACTCAGTTATCACTATTTTCACCGGTAACACAATTTTCGTGATTTTACAAATTATTAAAAAATATGAATAAATTCAGTAATTTAATTTTTTTTTTATATTTTTCGCCTTTATAGATACTTTTTCAATTACAGTGGTTTTCGCGATTTCGCGATTAAAACAAAATAAATAATAATTCGCTCTTCGATAAAAAAATAATGTTATTTTCACCATTTTCCACCAAACGATTTATTATCGCATAAAAAATGGGAATAAATTCAGTAGCTTAACAGATTTTTTAAATTTTTTGCCTAATTTTCGCTTTTTGCGGGTTCGCTTTTTACCATTTTTGCGTTTTTCGTCCTTTTCATCATTTTCGACATTATAAAAATAGGAATAAATTCAGTAATTTTAAAGATTTTAAAAATTTTCGCGATTTTAGCCATTATTCCAGTTTTGGTATTTTCTTGATTTTCGTCATTATCGTTTTTTCCCCACCATTTTCGCAGTGTTTGACATAAAAGAATAGAAATAAATTTAGTAGTTTAAAAGATTTTTAAATTTATCATAATTCCGACTTTTTAACTGTTTTTTTTTTTTGAATGTCAGTGATATTCGCCATTTTCAGTTTTTAGTATTGTCACATATGTTCAGTTTCACCATTTTTGCTATTTTTATAATTTCATTTTTTTTCATATTTCTATTCTACAGTCTCCTCTGCATTGGAGCGCGGAATGGAGCACGGGAGTCTTTCTTGACGGTGAACAGGCGTTTGATAGAGTCTGGCATCCGGCACTGATGTAAATTAACTCCGTGAATTTCTATTACTCCCTCATTATCCGTTCCTACCTTACTGACAGATACTTCAAAGTAAATTATACTGATGCTTATGCATATCTTTTTTCTCAGTTTGTTGGTGTATAGAGAATAAAGTTATTTTCTATTTCTATTTCTATTTACATTATGGATTAGAAAAAAATATACTTGTGCAATTCCTGGAGTACAATCGGCAACCAGGCGCTATCGAAGGCGGAGAATATGTGAAACAGAGGAGGCATGACATACTTCTCCTCTTTCTCTTCAATGGTGTACCCTCAGCAGGTCATCTGCGGTTCTCCTGCTTTTAGTGGATCCGTACTACCGTTGAAATCGATTAGTACATAATATTCTAGACATAATCCGTGCAGAACAAAAGCAGAAATTAATAATATAAGTTTTTTAAATAATAAAAAAATTATAACATTTTTATGGCTTTCGAAATGGACCTCAATAGTTGATAGTAAAAACTAAAAGGTGTTCACTACTACGCCGTTCAATAATTGAGCTTCAAGTAAAAAATTCAGTTGTTATTTTAATTACTGTCTAGAATAAGCAAAATTTTTCATATAGTTTTATGACAAAATTATTTTACAGCAATTAAGAACATACGCTGTTTTCTGGTTTATTTTTCACCTTTTATCTCAGCTCATCACTCACTACTCATGGAAGCCATGGATCCTGATCCTTCTTTCTCTTCTTCAGTAGGGGGCTTCACTATCAAGAGCTTTTCTTCCTCCTTCTTCCGTCTTAATTCTTCCATCTTCTCCTCTGTTAGCTGCTCATCCTCAACAGCCAGTTCATCCGCCTTCTGATCACCAGCATTGATACATATTGTTTCAACAAGGTCGCTTTTGCAGTAAGGTACTTTGATGGGAGCTTCCCTGTTGTCGAAGTAGACCAGAGTTCCGATCTGGTTGAAACGAATCTTCTTATGGGTTTCTGGTTGAAAAGCACACACAGGAGCAGGGTCTTGGCCAGCTTGGTTGAGGCCATCACTGCGGAACCACGGAGAAGAGGACAGAGAGCTCTCTGCCTGGCTCAGTATTCGCTCCATGATCCTGCAACACACATTTTTTTTTTAACTTTGAAATATATCCATCATCATCATTTCCGTACCCAATTTTAATGAAGTAGGGTATAACAAACCAGTTGATCACTTAATCGAAGTTCGAAATCACTTGATTACTAGTACGAAATTTCCATTGCCATCGTCTTAATTAATAAGCCAACATTTCCCCAAAAAAGAAGAAATAAATTATATTTTATTCTCTTTAAAAGATTTTACCCATGGGAAAGCTGATGTGGATAACAAAGACTATTATAAGAATCAAATATAAAATATTCATGATTAATAATAAAAATGTCAATTAAACAATAAATTAGCAGCGGCATTAACTTAAACCTCCCTGCAATGCATCTAGGATTGAAACATAGCCGTCAATGTGAAAGAGGAGGATAATAAGAAGCGAAATGTATTTCTTGCACCGCAGAACCTTTATCGGAATGATTTACGAACTGAGTGTAGGTATAATGCGTCTAAGATATGTCTGCCTGAAGAGGATGGAAGCTCGCGCAGCCATTCCCTTCTCCAGTTCCGTTCCACCTCCCCTCCTCGGCGTAGCAATCATCTCATACCGAAAAGGCGTTTTTCGGTGTTCTTCTAAATTCTAATTTCGTATAAGAAATTAAAAAAAAAAAATAGTGAAATAAATTTCAACTTGTAAAAAAAAAATTGTAGAAGACCGGCAAACGTTTTGCCACTGCGCACCTCTCACTTCCTCTAGCCACCGACAAACTTATCTTAGACGGACTCTACTTCATTATTATAATCGGATATATAATCGAGTCCGAGATGTTACCAACGCATGCCTGGTAATTGCCAATTTATTCAATAGGAAAAACTTAAATATAATTTAACCAAGAATACTTCTACATGGTATTTTCTTTATATATATATATATATATATATATATATATATATATATATATATATATATATATATATATATATATATATATAAATGAAGCATCATAACCAACAATATTGGAGAGTTACTGAGCTGAATATTGTTAACTGCTAAATGACTTTACCTGTTCTGCCTCTCCAGCTCCTTCAGCTCCTTGGAGGATTCATCCTGATACTTCAGAAGATCCTTCAATTGATCCAGAACTTCGATGTCCTTCTCTGACGGTTCATCAGCACTCATGATTTGCTTCATCAACTTCAGCTTCTTCATTTCCAGAGCACGATGTTCCAATTCGTTCACTTGCTCTAGAAGATACTTCTTTTCCCTCTCAGATTCCCTCTTTTCCCGATCGATCTGGGTCAGACGTTTCTCGAGCTCGTCAACTCTCCGTGTCAGGTTTTCCAATTTATCTCGTTCGAGAGGTGGTCCTCCATAGGATCCCAAAGGTTCCGGGGTTAAAGTATTCATGGAAGACTGTATCATCTTTTCCATTATCTTCATAGCTGCAATATGGCTGCCAATTACAATAAGCTATGAGTTCTGGTGTATATATGTTGTAAAAAAGTAAATTAAAATAGGTATTTAATGCCTACCAACTTTTTCGTTGTACTGATTGAGTTTGCTTTTCTCGTATTCCATTTTTTTCTTCTGTATGTACGGCGATGGATTATATATTTTATTCAGAAAATCATACATCTCTTTGTCTGAATCTGAAACGAAAATGAAAGTACATAGAACACATTTACCCTTTAACCACGATTTTCAATTTACATCACTTCCGTATCGATGGTCTGTTATGAAAAATGTCTATTTCTAAATTAATTAAAATTATAAATGTTTTCGAAGACAACTATTCAGCGTTGATGGACATGAATATTTAAACTAAAACTAAAAAAAGATAATGTATTTAAGATAACATATATAAGGAAAAAATGTGGGAACTAGGGCGGATTTAAGCCTTCCAAATCAGAGTTGTTATATATATTATCTGGTAGGTAAAGACAGAGTTGGTCAGGTCTGGCCATGAATAACTTAAAACAATGGAAAAAATTTACAGATGGTGACATTTTGGCTAAAAACTGTAAGTCTTCATCACAGCTGAATAGGAAGATGAGTTTGCGTCAACGAGTATGTGTATTTAACAAAACGCTAACTGTTTTCATAGTATTTATATAAATATTTCTGACAAATAAAATGATAGATATGTAAAATGAGGTATATACCTTGTAAGGTTTGAGCTTGAATCTTATTTCTTTGTGCAGCTTCTGAATCTACAGTTCCTTCGGCAGCTTTTGAATCTACAAATTCTTCTGTAGATTTTGAATCTACAGATCCTTCTGCAGATTTTAAATTTAAAGATCCTTCCGCAGCTTTTGAATCTAAAGATCCTTCCGCAGCTTTTGAACCTACAGATCTTTCTGCTGTTTTTGAGCCTACAGATCGTTCTGCTACTTTTAAACCTACCGATCCTTCCGCAGCTTTTGAATCCACAGGTCGTTCGGTTGCTTTTGAACCTACAGATCCTTCTGCTGCTTTTGAACCTACAGATCTTTCTGCTGCTTTTAAAACTACAGATCTTTCTGCTGTTTTTGAGCCTACAGATCCTTCTGCTGCTTTTAAACCTCCAGATCCTTCCGCAGCTTTTGAATCTAAAGATCCTTCCGTAGCTTTTGAATTCACAGGTCGTTCTGGTGCTTTTGAACCTACAAATCTTTCTGCTGTTTTTGATCCTACAGATCCTTCTGCTGCTTTTAAACCTCCAGATCCTTCCGCAGCTTTTGAATCTAAAGATCCTTCCGTAGCTTTTGAATTCACAGGTCGTTCTGGTGCTTTTGAACCTACAGATCTTTCTGCTGTTTTTGAGCCTACAGATCCTTCTGCTGCTTTTAAACCTACAGATCCTTCCGCAGCTATTGAACCTGCAGATCCTTCTGCTGCTTTTGTATCCACAGGTCGTTCTGGTGCTTTTGAACCTACAGATCTTTCTGCTGTTTTTGAGCCTACAGATCCTTCTGCTGCTTTTAAACCTACAGATCCTTCCGCAGCTTTTGAATCTAAAGATCCTTCCGTAGCTTTTGAATCCACAGGTCGTTCTGGTGCTTTTGAACCTACAGATCTTTCTGCTGTTTTTGAGCCTACAGATCCTTCTGCTGATTTTGAATCTAAAGATCCTTCCGCAGCTTTTGAATCCACAGGTCGTTCGGTTGCTTTTGAACCTACAGATCCTTCTGGTGCTTTTGAACCTACAGATCTTTCTGCTGTTTTTGAGCCTACAGATCCTTCTGCTGCTTTTAAACCTACAGATCCTTCCGCAGCTTTTGAACCTGCAGATCCTTCTGCTGCTTTTGTATCCACAGGTCGTTCTGGTGCTTTTGAACCTACAGATCTTTCTGCTGTTTTTGAGTCTACAGATCCTTCTGCTGCTTTTAAACCTACAGATCCTTCTGCTGATTTTGAATCTAAAGATCCTTCTGCAGCTTTTGAATCCACAGGTCGTTCGGTTGCTTTTGAACCTACAGATCCTTCTGCTGCTTTTGAACCTACAGATTCTTCTGCTGCTTTTGGATCTACAGATCCTTCTGTTGCTTTTGAACCTACAGATCCTTCTGCTGCTTTCGAACCTGCAGATCCTTCTGCTGCTTTTGTATCAACAGTTTTTTCTGCTGCTTTTGAGCCTACAGATTCTTCTGCTGTTTTTAAATCTACAAATCTTTCTGCTGCTTTTGAACCAACAGATCCTTTTGCATCAATCGGTTCTTCTGTTGCTAAATCATACTGCTGAGGTAGGTGGGTTTCTTCAACTTTAGCATTCTCTTCATGTAAAAACAAAAAAGGGGGATTATAATGTTTCATCATAGAATCAAAACTTATTTACTAAGAACTATATTTCTAAATTAAAACTATCTATTTAGAAAATTAACTTCTAATATTTATGATGTTTAGTACTTAAAGGAACATTTCTTGATAAATACATGTGAAAGACAAGATAATTATTTGGCAGCTAAGTTGACATCCAGGTTGTGAAAGGTCTCTGATATGAAATATGATACCAGCCATGACAACAGCCTTCAACGTCAGAAAGCTATTTCTTGCTTTGGTGTTTTATTTTTGTGTGATACCATTGATATTTTTCGGCATTCTTTATTCGTTTATAAAAAATATTTCAACTTATTTATGAGTTATGAGCATATCATAAAATATAAGGAGCAATGCAACAGTTCTGTACGATGTAGAATAGCAACAAATTAAATTATACAGCAAAACTGTACCTATCAAGTGGGATGGTTTCCACAATAGAAAACAATCTGCCAACGAAATTAAAAGTCAATGTCAGGACTTGAGGGCAAGATATAGATGATAAACAACTTTCAAGAAAGAGGATTGTTTAGAAGCAGCAATTGATAGAATAAATCGGTACAATTTCAATGGGGCTTAACACTTCCACTTCACTGAATAGTCCATTGTGAAAATTTGCTCTGGAAATGGTAAGGGGGAGGACACTACTGGAGAGATTTGCAAAGAGACTGCGATTGCTGGGAGTTTTAAGGCGCCAGCTTATGAATCACCAGCGCCAATTACAATCTGCCACAGGTGAATTGAAATTAATTTCATGGCGGACCGATCGAATGAATCTCGACCTTCCCAGTCTAGTTAGAATAATAATAATAAAAGGCTTAGCGAACCCGAAGGCTCGATGCCTACACCACCAATCGCTTATTACACACCTCCCTCCACCGTTCGCCGTCATATCCCAGTCCCTTCAGATCAATCTTCAATGCAATCTTCCCACCTTCGCTTCAGTCAACCCCTCGGACGTTTACCATTCGGTACAGCAAATATTAACCTTTTAGGAATTCTCTCGTTACCAAGCCCAACAATTTTACAAGCCCATTTGATTCGCCACAATGAAATTACCTCAATTATATTACTCGTATACAGTTCACGCAATTCCGCGTTGTGTAACCGTCTGAACTCTCCGCTTAACTCATCCTTCTTCGGTCCGAATATTCTATGCAATAATTTATTTTTAAAAACCTTAAGACGCTGCTCATCCCTTAATGTAAGGGGCCAAGTTTCGCATCCATAAAGAACTGTAGGTAAGATAATAGTTTTATAGATTCTAATTTTTAAGTTCCGGGACTAAGTAGCTTTGTCACAGAAAAATAACCAGCATTTCCCGCCTTTAGTCTAACCTTAATCTCTTCTTCAATTTCGTGTTTTCTAGATATCGTAGAACCTAAATACCTAAATTTCTCTAATTGTTCAAACATATTACCATCTCTATCGATGTCACCAGTAGTATCACCATTTTTACAGCTAACCATATATTTTGTTTTATTCGCGTTTATTTCGAGCTCTAGTTCTTTACCGGCTTTCATTAACGGTGTCGTATTTAGTTTTATAGTTTCCACGTCATTGATTAAGAGTACCAGAGTTTGCTCTGGTATCAGCCTAGCCCAGCACGGATGTTGTCCCACCAAGATCCAACCCCTTTTAATCTCCCTAATGGCATGTTCTAATGCCAAATTGAACAGGACAGGCGCAAGGGAATCTCCCTGTATTAAATCCGAACGAACCTCAAATTTTCCGGACAGATTATTACCGATTCTAACTTTATTGAGTGTTTCCGTCAAGTCATCCTGACTAGATTCACTAGTTTTTTTGGAATCTCCTGCTCGATTAGTACATTATACAGTTTCTGGCGGTTAATAGAATCGTAAGCCTTTTTGAAATAGATATACAGCTGGTGAACAGTACCGTTGTACTCAAATTGTTTCTCTGATAATGTAGTGAAAGCAGAACTGGACTATGGTCTGAAGAAAGGTCATCAAGGGATTTGATTATGGTTTGTGAGGAGGAGATCTGGGAAGTTATAAATATATCTAGGATATCGGGACGTTTTTTGAGGGATGTTGGCCAATAAGTAGGACTCATGGGCGAAAGGATTGAATAATTGTTGGAAGTTGAAACACGTGATAGGATGTTACGCGGGGGTTGGATGTTCGACAACCCATCGTTGGTGTTTAGCATTGTAGTCTCCTCCAGCAATAAAGCGCGATCCGAGGGATTGGAATAAGGTATCAAGGAGGTTATAGGAGAGGGAATTACCAGGAGGACAGTATACACCTGAGAATGTGAGATGGAAAGGGCGAGTTGAAAGGACTACAGAAGTTGATTGAATGTCATCAGTTGGAGTTGAAGGAATAAGGGAATGGGGTAATGATTTATGTATAAGGATGCAAGAACCGGCTTGGGAGGTATTATCTGGGTGATCAGTTATATAAGTGAAGTAGTCACGTATGTGGAAATGTATTCGTTTAGTGAAGTGAGTTTCAGTCAGTAAAGCAATGTCAATGTTATTATTATGAAGAAATAAGTCAAGTTCGTCACGGTGGTTGTTTAGGCCGTTAGCATTCCATAAAAGGATAGTTAGGGGCTTTGTGCTCATCGTGGGAAATTGAATGGAATTTCGGTCAGGATTCTGGTGAGAAGAGTGATAAGTGCTTTTATGGTATTTTGGAGGTCCAATAGGAAGGATGAAAGAATGGAGGTTATATCAGATGGATGTTGATTGTGAATTGGATTCAGGATAGGTTCTTGTGGTGGATTAGGAATGTTAGCTGAGGGCGGGATCCGTCGTTGTGCACGAGGTGGGTCTAGATTGGAAGGTACCTGTGCTGCACTTCTTTTCTGGGCGTTAGGATGGGACTGTTGAGGATGCTGCGGCGGTAATTTGACTCGTAAGGGTATATGATGAGGGAGAGTTTGCTGACGTGGAGGATGAGATTGGGGATTGTGAGGTTGAGGTTTGCATTGGGAGATTTGAGGCGCCTGAATTCGAGGCTGCTGCTTCTTCGTAGTGATTGGTGTTTTTCTGCTGAGGTTGAAGTCCTGCTGAGGTTGATCAATTTCTTTTGAAGTAGACGCTAGCTGTGTATTTTGAGTAGTCGTTTTTGGCAATTCTGGAAAATCTGATGGATTATCAATTTCAGGTAGATGGGTAAAACTTTCTTGGGTCAGTTTTACGCTTTTCGAGGCTATGATCTGAGTTCTCTGCTTATAAAAATGTTTATAAACTTTGCATCCTTTGTAGCTTGCTGGATGTTCTTCTCCACAAAGGGCACATTTCGCAGGCAGGTCTCGAGGTCTCTGACAAGTGTCTGATGCGTGTGGGCCGGCACATTTCACGCACCTGGCCTGGTGATGGCAATAAGTCTTTGTATGCCCCAAGTCTTGGCACTTAGTGCATTGCACTATTATAGGCTTTTGTCTAGGCTCTTCAAATTTAATGGTGGAATATATAAGCCTCTTCACTTGAAAAATTTCGATGTTATTGCTGGCTGGCTCTAAATCGACGAAAAATAGTGGTAAAGGATATTTTTCCGTTGGGTGTAGTACGCATGATATGTGCCTAACATTGTGACCTATTTCTTCTAGGCCACTTTTGATGAAAGATATTGGGGTGCTTGAGTGTAGTCCTCTCAACACCACTCGGTATGGCTTTTCTTGTCTTAATTGGTAACAATGGAAATCATAGCTTTTGGACGTAAAATAATTTATAAGAGTTTTGTAATTTTCTCGAGAGTTTGTGTTTATTTTGATATCATTAACTCTGGAGAAACAGCGGAAATTGGTCTGTCCAATCAGACCGGCAATTTCTTGACCAAATGTAACGAAGTTATCGATTTTAGATATGAAAATAGGTGGCGGCTCGGGCTCAGAAAACTCTTGAGGCTCCGGAATTTTGCTTGATATTTTATTAACGGAAACAGGATTATTGGTGTTAGTGGTGGTTGGTGCAGTTGGCTCTGATGCTATGGTAATTGATTTGCTTCTGGTTTGAGGTGGTGATATATTTTGCTCGGCTGATTGTTTAGTTTTAGTGGATTTACTGTGTTCAGTTGACTTTTTTAGATTTATTTTGCTCTGCTAACTGTTTAGGTTTAGCTGATTTGTTTTTTTTCTTATTGGGTGAATTAGCTCCCGACCCAGGAGGAGTGTTTCGATGACGTTTTTGAAGTGTTCGTCTTTTTAAATACTGCGAATCCGTTTCGCTAACCTCAGAAAACGGCGTTTCGTCCTCCGAATCTTCACTTGACGAACTCTTATCTAAATTCATATCTTCCATATTATGATAAGAGAGAGAAAAAAAAAAATCTACTGCTACATATAACAATTAAAAAGATGGAAGATTACGAAATAAAATATTAAAAAAATAAACTATATACATAACTATAATCAGAAATAAAATAAAACGTTTCTTACAATAAATATTTAAATTAAATAAAACAGTCGCTAGGAAAAAAAAAAATATAATGTCTTTGGTTCGAACTGAAGACCTGATGACTGAAGGAAGTTAGTAAACAGAGTCCCCGGCCGTGAACATATCAGAATATGATAAGGCACGTAAGGGAATTAACGGCCTCTCGATCTAACCAAATGAGCACCAATTTATCACTTATTTATTGTTAATAAATACTACCTCACCTGCGTGTACGTCAACGTAAAAGTATAAAACTGCTTATTAACTCACTGTTGTTTAAGTGTTACACCACAACTTTGAAGTTTGAGCACATTACTAAGCAACAAATACAGAGCGACATGAGAGTTATACTGCACTTGCGGCCATGACACTTGCTACTATGTGCCATGATATAAGCTTTTTTACGTTAAAACATTAGTTTGGTCAGTTTCGCATATCTTAGTAGGCTTATAGGATTAATAGACTCATAACATTTTTAACAAAATACAACTACAGAGGTATCATACTGCTTAATGTAGCATATAAATTTTTTGAGGGCATTACTATGCA